CACTTCAGAAAACCACCTGTTTATTTCCAGAGGTTATATACAGTGGGGCAAAAAAGTATTTAGTCAGCCACCAATAGTGCAAGTTCTCCCACTCAAAAAGATGAGAGAGGCCGGTAATTTTCATCATAGATATACCTCAACTATGAGAGACAAAATGAGAAAAAAAAATCCAGAAAATCACATTGTCTGATTTTTTTAGGATTTATTTGCAAAATATGGTGGAAAATAAGTATTATTATTATTTGTAGTAGGTGCTGCAGGCAGGACTCTGAATTCTATCTGTACTGAAGCCATGAAGAGCCTTTAGAGCTGATTTTCTCAAATGTCCTGCAAGAAAACTGACTCAGAAGCAAAAGTGGATGATGTATCCCAAGAAGATGGGGGGAATACAACCCAGAGCATGATGAATCATGTTTAGAAGAAGAAAACCCTAAAACTGGAAGGAAAACTTTTCAGAAAATGGCAAAAGAACATGGTCCTCAGCAGCATATGACCCACACATCAGGCATGCAGAACAAAGCATCATAAAGATGACCTCACAAGGTATGCCGTTTCTCATGCCCATGATGTCTCCAGTAACAGAAAAAAGTTATCCTTGGGATGAAAAATCTGGAGGGTTTTTAGTAAATATGGAGACAGCTAAAAAAAACATGGATGAGACTGACCTGCTGGCCTACTTAGGGCTGCCAATCTTAGCAGATGTATACAGGTCCCGAGGTGACGCTGCTGCTAGTCTATGGGATGCATTGGCAAAAGTGGAAGGCCAATTTTCTGAGCCACAATGCCACAAAGACCCACACCTCAAGACTGCTACGATTTGATGACTGTGAGTCAAGACCAGTGAGACGTGGGAGAGACAGACTTGCAGCCATAAAAGAGGAATGGGACAAGTGGGAGGAGCAGCTGCCCTACCTCTACAATCCAGGGCCTGATGTAACAGTGGATGAGCAACTGGTTCCATTTAGAGGAAGCCTGTTTTCAGATTTGCAATAAAAGCAATTTTCACTGTTAATTTCTTTGACTGTTTTCTGTGACACTGATACTAATCACTGATGCTGATGTCTTTTGTCCAAAGGTCATTGTCCTTTCCGGCAGTATATACCCAGCAAGCCAGCAATTTATCGATCAAGTCGTCGGTGGCTTGCAATGCCGAATCATGCTCTGCTTGGAAAATACAAGCATATACTGGAAATCCGACCGTTGGATGCCCAGAGAAGAAGGGGGATGCAGGGGATGCAAGTTGTAAATGGCCTGTACTCGCACTTTTTCAAGTCAGGAGACTTGACCAAAGCGCTTTACACTACATTCAGTCATTCACCCATTCACACACTGATGGTGGCAAGTTACATTGTAGCCACAGCTGCCCAGCCATACACTGGCGCCACCAGGCCCCCTGACCGTCATCAGCAGACAATGTAGGTGAAGTGTCTTGCCCAAGGACACAACAACACTGAAAGTCAATCCTTCGATTTCAGGGCAAACTCCTATATCCTACGCCACTGTCGCCCTAGTTGTTCCTGATTAGGGACTGAGGGGTCACAATGTGACGTGACAATTTCTTCACCTCTTAGGAACTCGGACAGCTGCTCCTAAAGAGGAAAATCACCATGGTTGGTACAGTTCAAAAGAACAAGCTTTAGATCCCATCTGCACTCTTTGCATCAAAGGAGAAAGAAGACTTCTACTCAAAGTTTGCATTCACGCCCACCAACAGTTTGGTTTCCTACCTCCCAAAGAAAAACAACAATGTAGTTCTGCTGAGCACAATGCGCACAGACGGTGACATTAGCGATCGTGAGGACAGGAAGCCAATCATCAGGAGTGGTGTGGACCCCCTAGATAAGGTGATTGGAACATACCGCTGCAGAAGAATGGCTGCCAGCTGGCCCCCAGTTATCTACCACAATATCATGTTTCCTCCTAAAATTCCTTTATGATTTATAGAGAGATCAACCTGACCTGGATGCCTCATAAGCAGAAGAAAAGGAGGGTGTTCCTGCAGCAGCTTGGAAAGACTCTTGTAACTCCACTCATTGAAAGAAAGAAGCATATTCCCTGCACAAAAGGCTCAGTAGAGGTGGTAAAAGCTATTCAGAGTGCAGGAGCTCCTGATCAACCTGTAGATCCATCTACCACAGCCAGTAAGAGGACCATAAAACACATACTGTGTGCTGCAGGTGTAAATATATCTGGAAAGGTTGTGCACTTGCATAACGCCCTACCTGTGCTAATTAGTTGAATGAGTTATGTTATTTTTCATATTTTTGTATTGTACAATATCTTAAATTGTTCACTGGAGAAAATAATGAAACTCAGTCATTGGGATGAATAAAATGCAGTCAAAACTCCTTTTTGGACATTTTTATTCTTTCTTTTTGAGCTATAGAAATTCAAGTTAAGAGGGAAAATTCATGTATACACACATTTTGTGCTAAATATACAATCTGAAATTGAGTCTTTAAAATTGAATTAAGCTGCTTAGATTGGGGATTAAGTGAAGACGGGTCATTTTAAACCGTAGGACACAGAACATGATGACAACAGCTGGGTTAAAGACAATAAAACTTGATAGTTAAAACCACTTTTTATCATATTAAGAAGTAGGGCTTAGGGAAAGGGTCAAAGGTCACTGTAAAAATCTTTAAAGCAGTTTATTGTTTTAACACTTTTACATTTTCTAGGTGTTTGTTTCAGATTAGTGGGACATAAGAACTAAACACTGTTTCTCCATGTTTGGTTCTGGATCTGCAGGATTCACCACTGACTGCAAGTCAGCTATTTATTTTGGAGAAAAGCAGTTGGTGAGTTATAGACGTAGAGAAGCATTATAAAGTCTTTTCTGAGATGCTGGGAGCCAGTGGAAGGACTGTAAAGCTGGGGCGATGTGCTCTGCTCTCTTTGTTCTATTGAGGACGCCAGCAGCAGTGTTCTGGATCAACTGCAGCTTTCTGATTGACTTTTTAGGTTTAACAGTCATTACACTAAATATTTCTACTAAAGATGAACGCATTAATGCATTTTTTTTTTCTTTTTTAGGTGATAGAAGCGGTGGACATTTTTCATAGAGGTGGCCAAAAACAGGCCTTTTAATGAGAGCCTTGCTTATAAAGCTATACGTATTTACATCATCGCCCCATAAAACATTAAAAACTAATTCTTAGTCTTATTTAATTGTAGTATATTGTGAGTAATTACTTGCTGTATTGTTGTTGACAGTTTTTGGTTAACATGCTAACTAAAATATGTCAAAGTAGACATTCCTCATGATGGTATCACTGCTGCCACCTTCTGGTTTAGAGAAGAACTGCTTGTTTCAGAGGTGGTGAAGGGGTGTCTATGGCAATCCCCCCCATGAATTTTCCCATAATTGACTGAGTTCACCTGGTGACATTGTAATGTATGGCTGTGTGTTGGCATAGTTATGTTAACTTAACTTCTTTTTTAAGATTTGAGTTAGGTGAAGCATGCAGATATTGAATATGATGGGTAACACTTTGTGTTCTCTGACACAAAGTTACATACTGACAGAAAAAATGCAGTAGCAGTGAAGTCTTAATTTAAAGCAAAGAGATCTACTGGGAGAAGAATAAATAACGATATCCAGGTGGTAGAGTTTAGATGGTAGAGTTTATTTTACAGTTATGCACTTTTTTATGTCAGTAACATTATAGAGATACCAAATACTTCTGCAAGGGAGCGTTGACCTTTCAGTATCACAAAAACTCAAAACACAGAAAAGATAACATTAAAAAGAGGAAATGAATCGTTTTATTGGTACGGTGACACATGTATGATGAACGTGAGGCCCAAAGCATCACAATGTGATGTTTTTATCCTCAAACAGAAGCTCTGGTAGGTTTTTATTTTGTGAAAAGTCGTTAAAAAATGAGAAACATTCATGCATGCTCAGCGACGGTTTGGATGCAGAACAGGCTGATAAATACAATGCGTTGGTTCATGAATAATTAGTTACGCTAATGTAAAAAAAAAGCTCCTTCTAAATGTACTGGCAAAAAAAAAAACTGTGTATAAATATTTTAATAGAAATAATCAAAATGCCTCAAACTAAGACCCAAGCTGAGTGACAGACTTTAAACAAAATGCTCCATGGAAGATTTAATAAAGTGCATCACTTTAAGGAGTTCAGACACCTGTGGCTGCAGCCGTGGAGGTAGAGGTGAGTATTGAAGCCATGGTGACGAGATTGACTCCAATCAACCAGCGTCTGCTGCTAAAGGCACACACAAAACAGGATAATCAGTAATGAACTTTGCATATATATATTTTTTTTCCATATTTTTGCCATTTTTTATAATTTACTAAAAGCTGTTTTAGATTAAATAATTAATAATAGATTATTTGATTCCTAAGCTAATCAATGTTCCTTTGGTTCCTGGTCAATGCTCAGTCTTTTAATGACATTTATTATCACTTTTGCAGATGATATGCTACTGTACAGGCATGTTAAGCTTGATCAGGTGGGTAGGTTGTGACGGGTGATTGGCTATCCAACAAGTTTAATCAAAATCTGAATGACCTCCTTGGCATGTTAACAGGTTTGTAAATAGCCCTTTATAAAGTATGAATCTGTTTAAGGTGAGTGGGAGCAAGGATGCATCCGGATGTTGTAGAGTAACACTTAAGGAGTGGAGTTGGAGACCTTTGTGGTTGTTTTTCCTGTGAGAGGTGTTTAACAAATCAACTTTACCTCCTGATTTACTTGAGTATTCAGGGCGTCGTGATGCACTTTGCAGAGCTGCGATCGCTGCTCTTCATGTGGCGGAAGATGACTGTCTCTGCCTGGACACAGTACTGTGTTTTGGGATTCAGTTTTGTCAGAGTCAGCTTGTGGGAGCAGCAGGTGATATCGTACATGTCCTGAGGAGAAGGTGAGGGGCCACATATTAGCAATCACACCAAAACATGCAGGACACAGAGTGACAGAGGGATAAAACCAGGGCCAGTTTGTTCCTCTGGGGATTTTTTTGTTGTTCTTTTTTCAAATCTGCTCTTCCTCTTCTGCCTCCTCACCCTTTTATATTTCCTCTTTGTCTTCTGATCTGTTTATGTCCCAGAGTCTGTGAAAGTGAATCTTTTTCTGCTGAAAAACTGATTTATGCAGCAGATTTAAGCTCACATAATCCTTATTTACCCAACAAAGCATCTATATGCATTTTATCATTAGTTTTAATTAAAAGGGTTTATTTTATTGGTTGAATTAAAATGTTCCTTTTAAGACCTTTCCAAAAAAAATGTTTTTGAAGGAAATGCTAAACTTAAAATGTATGCAGTTGGTGTGTGACAGAATAACAGATAAGTGCATAATGGTGAGATGAAAAGAATAAAATGGTCCCTGGTTGTCAGGTGTCTTTTAATATAAATCTGAAAAGTGTGGAGAATGTATTTTATGAGCTCTGCTGTGATATTTCTACCTGCTTTGTGCTTGTAGAAACTGAAATGTTTGCTCTTAGATTAGATCGGTTGGAGTGTGTTTGCAAACAGATTCTCAGCTGGATTTAGGTCTGAACTTTGACTGGGCCATTCTTACTGGTGTATAACTTTTCACCTTAACCAAATACTTTAGCTGTATAAGGTTGTTGCTGTGAAATGCAAACAGGAAGCGTTCCCCAGCATCTCTTTTCCACCCTTCCTTTAAGGCCACATCTGGGGTGTTCATGAAATAACTGCTCTTGCAACAGTTTCCCTCACTAGAGCTGCAGATCTATGCAGTATATTGAAGCAGAGGTACAGTATAGTGAAGTAGACTGAAAATGGATGCACAAATTTTACTTGTAAAACATATTTTTGCTTTTAATTCAAAATTATGTACCAATTAGTTAATTGATATAAATACAAGGCATGGCTCTGGATCAACAGATTTGAATAAATCTGATTCCACACATGTTTTTTTAAACTTAAAGACAACGGATTATCCTCTAGATCCCTCAGGAAGCTCTGGTTCTGAAGTGAAGTCACAGTAAAAGTTTGCATACCTCCTTTCCATTGTGGAGGACGTAGACTTTGTATTCCACACTGCTGTGCATCTTGCGGACCAACAACCGGGCGGCCTTCACTTGGATGACGATGCCTTGTTTGGAGGAGTTGATCTTCACATCAGGAGGACTGATTTTGGCTGCAAAGTAGCAAAGTTAAAGATTAATGTTTATTTGGTTCTTAGTTTTCTTTTTTAATACGAACACTTGAGCTGTCTTATTCTTATTTAGGGAGTAAAAAGACAAAAAAGAAAGTGTAAATGAGGGTGAGGAGAAGGAGGTAGTTGGTGCTTACTGTCCCAGCGGGGGCTGAATCTGGGGGACAAGGCCCAGGCCGATTTGCTGCTGGAGGCTACGGATGTGGCTTGGACCCGAGCGTAGTACCACTCTGTGGTATCGGAGGTGACGTTGCTGAGGTCACACTTGTGCCTCCGGATCCCCTGACAGCTGCTGACTTTCAGCCAGTCCATCTCACCATAGCTGTGAATTCAGCAGGGATCTTTGTTAGATGTTTACTCGACTCTTAATTCTGCAGGATCCTGCCAAATTATCTAAATCATTCGTTTTTAAACAATAACATATCGAAATACTGCATGAAGCTGCTTCTGCAAAACAGGATTTTCTGTCTAAAATAACAAGTCTGTGCACTTTAAAGGTTGAAATTGTAACAGAAAACAGCATTGGAGTCAAATCTTAACAGTTGAAATCATGCTTTTTGAAACGATTTGTAGTTCTTGACATTAGGTCCGTTAGGTTTGTTAACTAAGCTGTACGGTAAAACAGCTGCTAGCTTTATCATGCAAAAAAAAGTTACAAATTCCAAGCAAGCCTTCCCTGTACATTTTTTACCTTTGCAACTGAGAGTTCTCAGCAGGTAATCCAAATTTGGTTTACATAAAGTGAATTTCTCTCTCTCTAAATGACTGTCTAGGAGTGGGTGTGTACATGAATTGTAATTTGTAAATGTGGCAGCGGTCTCCAGGCCCAGTCCTGCTACCTGCTAATAGACCTCTGCTCCCAATCTACTTTAGGTATTCAACCTTTACTTATTAGTTTATTTATTTACTTCTAAACTAGTATCATTCTGAACAAAGTCTCCTGCAGGTAAGATGTTGACTGCAAATTACTAACACAGAAAATCCCACATAAAAAAAGACTTGGAAATATTTTTTTGAAACATTGCAACAGATTTATACTTAATAGTTTATTTATCTACTAATACATGGGAAGAAGATGATCCTGTAAATCTTGATGTCTTTTTATTGCTTTGCACTGGTTGTGAAGTATTGTTTTATGTCTACATGGTACATGAAGACTTAAACCTACTTTTGAGTGTATGTTCGTTTTTGCCCCATTGATAAATTTTGATCTGTAAGCCCAATAATTGAAACTAACAGTGGGTTCAATGAAATTAACTTCATATTACTCCCTTCTTTATGCTTCAATCACATTTACATGATTGAAATCAATCTGTTTGTTTTAAGGTCCTCTTAATAGAATAGATTTGTTCAAACCCTTAAACTAGAGGTAAGATTCATTACTGATTTGAGACTGATTGTGGAGGGAGATGCCTGTGGAGCTCCCTCTACTGGTGGTGAGCTTGTATAACCACAGAAGAAGACTTTTATTTATTAATCATTAAATTAAATTAAATTAAATTAAATTAATAAAAGTAAAAAAATAATACCGGAAATAATTTTATGGAAACAAAAATCATAAAAAAAAAAAAATTAATTACTAAATGAACTTTTGCTACACTGTATGTATTTTCCTATATTTTCTGCCATTTACTGCCAGGGAGTGGTGGCCTAGTGCTTAAAGCATTGCACTTGGGTCTGAGTTCAAGTCCCACTCATTCCCACAGCTTTCACTCTGGGTCCCTGAGCAAGACCCTTAACCCCAGACTGCTCCTCTGGCTCCAACAGTGACAGCCCACTGCTTCCGAAGTAAATGCAGAAAGTGAATTTCCCCATTCTGGGACAATAAAGGGATTTATATTTATTTATATTTAGTTCTGTCACTCTGGCAATGATTATATTATAGGATCAAAGGCTCAGAAATGAAGAGAAACAATAGAGAGAATCCATCCATGTTTGTGTGTGAGCGCTCACATCTTATACTGGACGTTATAATGCAGGGAGGTGCTGTTGGTGGGAGCCACCCAGTGCAGGACGTTTCTGTAGTTTATAGACGTAAACTTCACCTGGCCAGGTGGAGTCAGCATTTCTGCAACACAGGAAGTCAGATATCTGGGTTAGGTAAGATCAATAAACATTTATATCAAATATCTCACAGTTTTAGGAAGGTTTTTAACCACCCAGATGTAGAGCTGCACAATAAATCCAACTGCAGAAACATCATTGTGGCAGTGTTTGCAATATCAGAGTTGCAAACGAGCACTTAGATGCACATATTTGGTGTGATACACTTCAAGTGCCATGCATTCACGGCATTTGCTCGGTATGATGGTTTATATTCCCCCTAATGCGCAATATCTGTCTATTTTATTGGCTAAGAAGTTCCAGTTATGTGGTGAGCAAGAGGCAAAGATGGAGAAATAGAAAAGTTCTGGAAAATATGGCTTAGCAATATGGCAATAACAAACTTTTCCTGAAATTGGCACAGGAGCTCCTTCTGACTAAACTAAACTTCCTGAATATCAGGTTTATAATGTGCCTTTATTTTATTAATAATTTCTAATAACATTTCGTCCCTTTTTTATCTTTTAGAAATTAAATAAATATTATTCTTACAAAGACTTATTCAAAAGTCTTAAAATGACAAGTTTTGTGAATTGGCGCTATATAAATAAAATGAATTGAATTGAACTGAAAAGAAAAAGAGTTACATTTCAGCCAAAGATGAAGGAAACATACATTTTGAAAAACAAAAACTAAACATGCTGGTTAGAAGGAGGCCTGAGGTAGGATCAGCAGCAGGTAACCTCTGTTAAATGTGATCACCCAAAACAAACTTAAACGCCCACAGGAGCAGGTACCAGAGGTTTTTGTCCTCATGAAGTTTATAAATTTCGATTCCTTAAAATTGGCCTCCTTCTTAAGCTAGAAGTTGCTTTTTCTATCAGATATAAATAAAGAAAACTTGATTGTTTTTGTGATAAATCATTAGATTTCTTGGTAATCTACTGATTTAGGTTTACAGGTTTATCTGTTGGTAAAACTCGGTGTGACCTTTTAAAAACAAAGGTCAACGTTGATGACAAACCAGCCAACAGTAAACAGGCTTAACTGCCTATCCGTCAATGACCTGCTTAGACGTCATTGGTTTAGTATAAAAGGAGAAATAATGTAAAATGAACCTTCACACCTCTGGTCTATTTAATTGAAGAAAACATTAACATCATAACCAAATAACAAACATATCAGCAATTAAACCTTAGGATCTTTAAATGCCTGCAGGCGGGTAGCAGCTCTGTAATTAAAGAAAATGCATGAGGACAGAGTGGAGGTTACCTTGAGCTGTGACACAGAAGGCCAGGTTCCCCAGCAGCATGGTGCGGAGCAGCAGGCGAGTCATGGTGTCAATGCAGTCTGTGGACCAACACTGAAAACAATCCTAACAGATGCTGCAGGCAACCCTCCCTCTACCTTTTAAAAGCCCTAACTTCCCCTTTTTTTAAATGCCACAATTGCTCTTAACTATTTATGAGACAGAAAAGAAGCCGTCATGGAAACTTTTGCTTTTTATTCTTTACAGTATTGATTATTAGCTGAATCAGATTTTGTCATCCATTATAAAATGCAATTATCCCAGACTTACTGATCATATTTTAACCCATTAATCTACAGTTTAGATACAGGAAATGCCATGTGACCAAAGAGTATGAACAAAACTAGTATTTGTTTGTTTTATTTAACAGATGGAATGGTCATCATAAATAATACTCATGACCAAAAGTTTTAAATGTTTGTATGTTAGACAGACGTTACTCACTTGCACTGAGTTGAAACTTAGATAAGTTTATAAA